GCAGGGGATGGGGCTTGGTGGAGGTTCCCCCATGGTCCTCTTCCCCCTCCTCCAGTCCCCCCCCCCCACTTACCAGCAGAGTGCAGGTCCAGCTCCCTGTGGCAGCGAGGGGGGACTGCCTGAATCTCCGAATCTTTTCCGAATCAATTCGGAGAGCTTCGAATCCATTTGGACCTTGATATTGGTCTTCTGATTCAATTCAGATTCAGAAATTCAGCTGCCAAATCAGGCCGAATCTCCTCCAAATTGAATCAGCACCCAAAGATTTGCATAGCTGTAGTAATTACTTTGTGAAACTAATTGCCACAAGAGGTAGTGGCAGCAGATAGTATAGCCAGGTTCAAACAGGGACTGGAAAAGTTCATAATGATAGATCTATTAATGGCTGTTAAACAGAATGGCTGGGGATGCTTCCTTTGGCATCTGGTGGATGCTAGAGAGAGTATTGAATAGGGGATAGTTAACCTTAGAGATACCTGTTTTGATGCTCTCCCTGTATAACATCCACTTCTGCTGCTGGCAGAGACAAGACACTGGTCTAGATGAACCATTGGTCTGGCCCAGTTTGGCACTTCTTATGTTCTCATTGATTTCATAGACATTAGGGCTGGAAGGGACCTTGCAACATCAATTGGGTCCAGCCCCTACCCAAGGGGCAGGAAGTCAGCTGGGGTCAGATCACCCCAGCAAGATAAACATCCAGGTGTTTCTTAAAGGTATTCAGAGTAGGTGCTTGCAGGACTTGGGGGAGTCTATTCCAGACTCTGGCGACTTGGACGATAAAGAAGTTTTTCCTTATGTCCAGTCTAAAATGATCTTCCAGCAGTTTGTGACCGTTAGACCTTGCTTTCCCTTGGGGTGCTCTGGTGAACAGATGTTCTCCCAGTTCTTGATGCACACCCCTTATATACTTCTAGGCTGACACCAAGTCCTACCTGAGCCTTCACTTCTCCAGGCTGAAGAGTCCCATGCCTCTCAGCCTCTCCTCATAAGGCCTGTTCTCTTGCCCTCTGATCACGCCTGTGACTCTCCTCTGGACTCTTTCAGGCTTCTCCACATCCTTTCTAAAGTGCAGAGCCCAGAATTGGATGCAGTACTCCAGCTATGGCCTCACCAAGGCTGAGTAAAGCAGGAGGATGCCTCACCTAAATGGTACTAAATGTGTGGGTTTTGATTGAGATGCGTCGGTAGATGCAAGCCAGTTTTATTTGCTTTGCCAGCTGCAGCATTGTATTGGTGGCTCATGTTCATCTGGTGGTCAATCATGAGCCCCAAATCTCTTTCAGTCGTGGTGCTAGTGAGTGTACCACTGCCGAGCCTATAAGCATGATGTGGGTTTTTTGTCCCAAGGTGCAGCACCTTGCATTTCTCTGTATTGAATGTCATCAGGTTTTTCTCTGCCCACCTTGCGAGCCTGTCCATGTTGGCCTGAATTGTCAGCTCATCCCCTAGTGTGATTGCACTTCCCCATAATTTGGTGTCGTCTGCAAACTTAGCCAGTCTGCTTCTGACGCCCGAATCCAGATCATTTATGAATATATTAAAGAGTACTTGTCCAAGTACTGAGCCCTGGGGGATGCCACTGGTCACCATGCACCATGTCGACTTGGTTCCATCAACTATCACTCTCTAGATCCAACCACGAAGCCAGTTCCCCAGCCATCGGACCGTAAGGTTGTCGAGGCCACAGTTCCCCAATTTTACCATGAGCAATCTTACCTTGTCTGAAGGTATTTTATTCTGGAAAGCATGTCAAGGTGCCCTGCTGAATATTGCTCTATCACATCCTTTACATCATAAGGCCTCAAAGTTTCCTTGAATTTTTTTTTGTAGAGACGAAATTGTAGTATTCTGCACAGTAAACAGAACAATTACTAGCCTCTAATATAAATTGCACAATGGTCAGTTATAATGAAGGTCCCACCAAACAACCAATAACTATTCTTTGGATGATGGAGGATTGAACAAAAGTGAAATGCAGGGAATATCTAACACTACATCTCATTACAAATACATTTTGTATTTTTCTATGCATCATTAGTAGGTTAGATTTTCCTTGAAAGATACATAATAGTTTTCCTTTTCTCCAGTATCACCATGTTTGGACAAAGTCTACAAAAATCAGACCTGTATCTAGATGCTGCACAACTGAAGTACAGTAGACAATTTGTAAAAAGTATCATGAAATGACTTCATGCCTGATTTGCATATCAATTTCCAATATTATTTGATTAGGACTCAAGAAGCTTCTTATAAATGAATTACTTCCAGTTAACATTCAATTTCTGTGTAAACAGTGTAGAAAAAAAAATTAGATTTACATCTGATTTAACTTGCACAGAAATTAACTAACCTTAACCTGTACCAATTAATTTGCGTTGTACAAGACATGGGGCAGGAAAGAAAGATGCTAATTTAATTTTCTGTGTATATACGATGCAGACAATGCAACCATTGGGTTACTGTCCACCCAAGATACAATGAAAAAAATGGATGTAAAACAATGAATAAATACATCTGTAAAAAGATGCTAAAACATGCATGTTAGCTGGATTCAAACTGGTCCCCAATTTTGCATCCACAAATTTCAAGTACTTGTGGCAGCTGAATGAACTTACACATTCATTTTGTGAGAGGTGCAATATGAGAAGTTGTGAAAGAAGTCACGTGTAGAGAATTTTCCTTTTGAATCTATTGCTTCAGCAAATATGGACTAACTTTACTTTAGAGGAGAAAAAATAACAAACCATCAGGTTTCTTGACTATACACTAGCAGGGCTATTAGTGGTGTTAAAGAACATACATGAAAAGACAGACTTCCGAAAGGACAGTAGCATAATTTACAATGTGGACTTTCCTTTTCCATGACAACACAGATTTAAAATCAAAGTCTGAGTCAACTTTGAGTCAAAGTGTTAGGTGAGGTACCCTGTGTGTTCACTGATCTGGTACACTCATTACTTAAGAACAATTTCTGAACATAGAAATCAGGCTTTCTGCTCTAGCTGCCAGGTTGTTTCAAGAAATGGGGCCATCCTCCTTGAAGAGTCTCCAGGTGGAAGATGTACTACAGGTCCTGGAGCACTCAAATGCCTGCTGCTATGTGGATTTTCCATAGAAAATGACAGCAGTGGTATGAGAAATAAACAGCTGTCAACAGTGAGTACAAGTGCATGGAAAATAGATGCCTATGCACCTTCAGGGCCATTTCCTGAGAAGATTTGTGCAGAAATGTTTAGAGTGGGGAGGAAGAGGCGGTCACTTAGCTAATTCATCATAGATCCATACTATGTATTATTGAGTCATGGAATTGCCCTTTAACTCTTGGCCCCTAGGGAATACTTTTTGCACTGCTAAGCACTGGGTGTCTCATTGCAAATTGGACTCTGTCCAAAGGTAGGTCCTGGGTCTATTTAAATGTAAAAACAAAGAAGTAAAAGAGAGGAGGTCCAGGTCAACTGCAAAATGCAAATTCCAACCTTACCAAAGTGTGTCGCCTCAATGAGAATGAACAGACAGTTTGCATAACCCAACACAAACAAACCTGATTGTAATGAGGCATCATAATCGTTTTGGTCCAGCTGTTTGGGGAAATTGCTCTGTTTCTGCAAAATGGTTTGGTTTAACTGAATTTGCGTTTTCCAACAGAAGACTTTTGACCACCTCTGGCTATTTCTTTTCTATTATCTATCCTCCTACTCCACTTAAAAGAACCAATGACAGTGAACAGCACAGAAATAGTGGTGCAGTAGCGATCTCCTGTAGTTTAAACATGTAAAGTCAAAACAAAATATTAAAGTCAGTAAAAGAAAATATACCTGACAGCTCGGATAACTGTTTTCAAAGTGGGGATCATATCTTCCATGAGGAATTCATTACTGTCACCCCTATCTTCTTGCATGGGGTCCCCCGTTCCTGCCTCTGTAAAGCAGGCCAAACACATGTGTGCAAAAATCTGGCCACAACGTACAGGTTACATCAGATGGATACTAAGTAACATGACCCCTACTTTAATTTACATGATCTTGTAGTCTCCTGTAAACTCCTTTTCTTGTTATACTTCTCTCTTCTGGCCCATTGGCAGGCAAGTCACATCATTTGAGACTCCATGAACCAAACTTACACATGACGCCTGAGGGGATGGGCATCATACATGTTGGTGAATTGATGGGAGTGTATAAAGGATTCTTTTAAGTAAGCTTAGCATGAGTCTAAATAAAGACTATGGGGGCACGTCTACGTATGCATTAATGCACCTTTTCTAACGCATACTAAATTTAGTATCTCCAATGTAAGGTACTAAATGAATGCATGTTAGGCTGCACTAACACACAGTAGCACATTTGCACACTTTTTAGTGATGCTTGATGTGCAGCAGACTATTTTCCTGTGCATTCGCATAATGTAATTTTTTTTGTGTGATGCTTTAATGTGCAGCAGACTATTTTCCTGTGCATTCACATAATGTAATTTTTTTTATGTGATGCTTTAATGTGCAGTAAAATAGTCTACAGAGCATTAAAGTGCATATGTGGATGCATCCTAGGAAACTGAAAGAAAGTAAACCGTGTTAACTAGATCTCACTACATCCTCCTAGATGCACTTAGATTCACTGCCCCATGTTCTCGGATGCCCACGTTCACTCCAAGTGGATTCAACTGCACACACATCAATACAGCGCACTGTTAGTTTTAAGTAACTCATGCATCTTATGTGGAGAGATGTTCGGCTCAAATGCGGGATTATTTTCAAGCTCTTCCCCAAATGGTTAGTAAATTCTCCATGTATGGGCATGTAGTAGTTGTGTATGGCCGATTATTTTTAATGATGTAGCATGTTATTTTGAAAGTCATGAAACTTCAGAAAAGAGATGGAAGGGGAAAAACAAACAAAAATGGGAAGGCAGTGAAGAACTTGAGGGGGTAAAAGAAATCAACAGAGATGTGCTACCTTCTGAGCTTTGCCAAAAAGCGTATGCTTTCATTCGGAATGCAGTGCGGAAACGTTCCTTATTATTCAAGCCCACATTCTTAGGCTCTTTAGAAGGACTTTCTTCAATGGCATCTACATTCAGAGGGGTAAATAGCTTTCCTTTAGTATTGGTACCACGAACCCGATCCAAGAGACCCAGCTTTTGGCTACAAAATAAGCAAAAGGAATCATTTTTCCTCCTTTAATGCAGTTACATACTTTTAACTTGCTTTCATGTTGCTTTTAATATATCAGAACTTGAACAGCTATTTAGGATAGCTGAGGCTATGGGAATACATCAATATCTTTGTCACCAGCAACTAAGCTCATTAAGAATTGATAGGTTTTATAAGCACTGTAATATAAATGCTGCACATGTTACTATACGGCCGTACTAAGATTTCCATCAAATGCACCACGTTGCTTCTGCTCCATTAACGTGTCTGAAGTGCTAGCTTCATCATTAAAAAGACAAATGCCAAAATTTAGTTAGTAATATTGTCCGATGAGAAGGAACCTTAGTTTTTCCAGTTCGGTGCCCTCTAAGTGCTGGGTCAGTGGTAGATTATTACATGAATAACTTGTGCACAACCATGAATGAGAGAAGTTCTAATGTGCTGTGAACTAAAAATAAGTTATCAGCAAAACACTGGAGAATACAAAAACGTTCTTTCCTACACAACTGCTCAGCACATGGTATACCCGGACACCCACTTCTCACCCACCAGTCAATTCCACTCAATCCACAGTTGGAAAACTTATGGGGATGATCTTCTGTTCGCCTAAATGAGCATTTACAATATTTCAGTACCTTTCAGCTCTCTCATAATCCATCGTCTTGCCCTCTTGTGACAGTAATGACTTTCGATATTTTATCTTTCTAGGAGCATGCATTCATGGTAACCTTACTGGCACCAGATGACAACACTGATATTCAAACAAGTTACTAGCACTCCTATGGCAGCACAAAATTATCTGCCACACCATGTTTTCACTGAAAAAACACTAGAGGGATGTCTTCCTGGAATAATCAGAATAAGGTGGATCGTGGAAAAATGCAGAGCATTGAACTGAATGATATGCATCATTTGATATATGGGTATGTGTGTGTTTAGTTTTTATGGTACAATTGTTATATATATGGGGAAGTCCCCTAATGCAGGGGCGGGCAAAGTGTGGCCTGTGGGCCAGATCAGGCCTGTGGTGGACTCCATTTCCCAGCAGCCCCTGCCCATGTTGCTGTGGCTGGTTTCCATGGAGACCCCAGCAGTGGTAGGGCCATGACAGTGTGGGGCCAGGGTTTCCATGGAGACACTCCCAGAAGCACTGGCAGGGCGGGGAGCTATTCTGGGGCTGGGATCTTGTGGCATGCGGGCAGGGGTGTGCAGGCAGAGGATCGTGGCTCTGCCCCGGCTCCGGACCACACTGGCACCACTGCAAGTTCCCAGCCCCCGCTGCAGAGGAGCTCCCCACCCAGCCGTGTGCCCTGCCCATGCTGCTGGGGCTGGTCTCCAGGGAAACCCTGGCCCCACGCTGTCATGGTGCCACTGCTCCTGGGGTCTCCATGGAAACTGGCTGCAGTGACACAGGCAGGGGCTGATGGGAAATGGAGTCCAGCCACTGGGCAGATCCACCATTTTGCCCACCCATCCTACTGGCTCAACCCTACTATGAAAGGGCTTGTAACAGGTTGCAGGCTTGCAGCCTGGATCAATTAGCCAGCCCGCCTAAGGGCAATCAACCAATAACGAGGGGAAGTTGACTGGCTGACAGGAAATAAAGAGGCAGGAAGAGGAAGTGAGAAGAGAAAGACTTGGGATGAGGAATGGTTGCATGGAAAGCGAGGACTCCTCCAAGGAAGGAGGAAGATTTCAGGGTGAGAACTAACCCGTGCCTGCGGGCGTGCATTCTGGACTGCTTTATATTTTCTGCTGAGCTCGGTGGTGCAGATTAACCTAGGGCTTTAAAGCTTGTGGTGTGGGCCCAGAAAAGGCTGTGCTGCTGGGACTGGAGTTCAGATGTGTTTATTTTGGATTGCTTCTGCTTTCGGCTGAGCCCTGCGGAGCAGGAGAACCCAGGGCATCTGCGCCTGCACTGCTGGGCCCACGGAAAGATTGTGTTGCTGGAACCAGATTACAGGACTGGTTTAAAGGGTTCAAGGACTGATTTCAGTCTGAGTTGGGGGAGCTAGCCTAACTGAAACTCCATGATAGGGTTTTTACATCAGGATGTGGCATTATCCATATCAGGATGTTGCAGAGTTTAAATGAATGGCTACACAACTGTTTTTCTGTTAACATGATCATTTCCTACTGACTTCTGAAATGTGTATGGTGTGGCCTTGCTTGAACGGTGGTGATCAATGTCTGGATTTCACTGCAGAGTCTAAAAGCAATGCTTCAGATAACAAGGGAAGCATTCAGAAAGTGGATTTTGCCAGAGACAAAAAAGAGCTGGTGACTAAATCAGAAGTTGCCTACCACACCGTAAGTGAAGTTGTCTGAGACTCCGGTGTCTATACAGATTCCATTACAGGTATGAGCATCCCATTCACATGAGCCCTGAATCATTTAGTTAGCAGTCTTGCTTGGAGACTATATGTATGCACTGTATGCCTTCACTGCTACCCTTATCCATGGAGGGCACATAGGGGAAAGCAGCCCCAACTGCCACATAGTTCAATACAATGCAGAAGGAATCTATAGCACTGAGGAAGAAGGGCAGGTCATAGGATCTGCATGGAGAAGGCTGCCTTGAAGACCTCCATTTACTGCAAGGTGAGTAAAATATCATCTTTCTTCTTCAGGCCTTTGTCTACGCTCATCCAACCGCATGCATTTGATCAGCTGTTACCAACCTACTGAAATAAAGATTATAGGACTGTTCTTCCAAACTGGGCATCTGATCTAGAAGCTGGCTGGAAGGACTCGTGTTTAGTAAAATATAAGAATATTGTAGAGCTCCATTCAGCAGCCCTATGAATTTCTGAGATAGGGATACAAGATATGATAGAGATGTTACCCGGCACCTAGGTTTCCTCTAAAGAGGAAATTTTATCACAGAATAAGAGATTTGAATGTATTTTGGGGGCAGAGGTATCCAGCCATCAGATTTACCACTAAACATTATGAAAAGGCTGTGCCATTTTTAAAAAGAGTTTTCTTCTAGACAGGTAGAATGGCAAGGCTGTCAGTATTTCCAGATTATTAAATTAGTCTCATTTAGATGGAAGAAGTTCAGGGAAGTGTATAAATTGATGTGGATGAATATGTCAACTTGTCTGGGGCAGAAATTTCACATGTGTGTACAAGCATAACTGACCCTGTAAAACTAATCTGTCATCAAAGACTGCTACTCGTTCTACAGGCATAAGTTATAGCCCCTGGAAAGGCAACTCTGCAGAGGAAGGTGCCGCAGAATAGAATGATGAAGGTTCAAAAAGGGAGTTCTGGTAGGACATCAATACTATATTCAAGTCACAAGCAAGGAGTGATTCCTTCTCCAGTAGAAATAAATGGATCATTCCCTTTGAAAAGGAGCAACAGCATAATCTCACACATGGAGTACACCAGTGCAAGCTGCTACGTGATCCAGTGAAAGGAGATCTTTGGCTAGGAGCAGAGGCTTGTAATGAGCTGAGCCATCATGCTAAATTTCTCCTGAGAAAGTTATGGCCTGGCTGATACAGACTCCAAACTTGCTCCTATATGTTATACTGAGTGAGAAAAGGTAATGTGTGACTTTTCTCAAGTAAGTTTTGAGACTCAGGAACCAGACAAAGAGCAAATTGACCTTTTGAACATCTTTGGTAACCAGACAAAAAGAATGATCTGAGATCTAATGGCTGTTATGCCAAGGGTATACATTGAGTCTCAAGACCACCGGGCACTAGGTAAACACGGCTGGGGCCAGTGAGAACTGGTTGTGGTGGCTGTTACATGTGAAGGACACACATTTGCTTTGAACTGTGTGGATTGCCACCTGCAAATAAGTGTCTTGCAAGATGAGAACTGCCACACAGTTCATAGGATCTAGGAAAGAAATAGATGAGAAGGCTGAGATCCAAACCTGTCTCAATGAATGAACTGAAGATGTCTGAAATCCTGTATGGGGCACAGCCTCCCCTCTTTTTTTGGACTAGGGAAGTAGTGGGACTAGAACCCGTGTTCTCAGAAGGTCCCATTTTGATCATGTACTTCTACAAATTGAGCGCATCTGCCTGCAGCAGGCAGCCACGTGAAGGGGTCATCAAGGGGATTGCTGGGAAGAGATGGGATCCACCTGACAAAGAGAGGGAAGAGCATCTTCAAAGACAGGCTCACTAACCTAGTGAGGAGGGCTTTAAACTAGGTCTGCCAGGAGATAGATAACGAAGCCCTGAGGTAAGTGGGGAAGCAGGAGACCTGGAAGAAGAGCAAGCAGGAAGGGGCAACAGGGGAGGTGGTCTCATACTTCCTGAGAAATCAGAGCAATCAACTAGTTACCTCGGTGTCTGTACACAAATGCACGGAGCCTGGGAAACAAGCAGGAAGAACTGAAAGTCCTTGCACAGTCAATGAACCATGACGTGATTGGAATAATACAGACTCGGTGGGCTAACCTGCATGACTGGAGCACTGTCCTGGATGGGTATAAACCGTTCAGGAAGGACAGGCAGGGAAGAGGAGGAGGAAAAGTTACAAATGATGTAAAAGAGCCATTTGATTGCTCAGAGCTCCAGTATGAAACTGGAGATAGGCCTGTTTAAAGTCTCTGGATTAAGGTTAGAGGAGACAGCAACAAGGGTGATGTCACAGTGGAGGTCTACTATAGACCACCAGACCAGGAGGAAGTGGTGGATGAGGCTTTCTTCAGACAGCTAGCAGAAATTTCACAATCATAAGCCCTGGTTCCCATGGGGGACTCCAATCACCCTGACATCTGCTGGGAGGGCAATACAGCAGTGCACTGGCAAGCCAGGAAGTTTTTGGAGAGTTGGGGACAACTTCCTGGTGCAAGTGTTGAAGAACCTAACTAGGGGCCGTGCTCTTCTTGACCTTCTGTTCACAAATAGGAAAGAATTGATGGGGAATGTGGTAGTGAATGACAACTTGGGCAGCAGTGACCATGAGATCACTGAGTTCAGGATCCTGAGGAAAGGAAGGATGGAAAGCAGCAGAGTAAGGAC